CAGCCCGAGAGCAGGGCCCGCACCCTCCACCCCTTAGCATGGGCGCCCTGTTGTCAGATGGCCACCACTCAGCCTGAGAACAGCTCCTTATGCGATCCCACTCAGGGCCCAGCTCGAACACACTTTCCGAGGGGACTCTGGAAATCCAAAGCCTTCTCCCTTCTACCCAACAAAATCCTCTCTACCCTTCAAACTCAGATAAGGCCGCCCTCCTGAGAGAGCGCGATCCCCGTGCCCACAGGGGTCTGGTGCCTTTCTGTCCATAGTACTGGGCACCGAGCCAAACCCCCACCACCCCACCAACATGCGTGGGTCTCAGCTCCCTGGTGTACATCCCTCAGCACTGGCTCTGATCAAATCTCTAGAGTAAGAGACAACTTTTATTTTGAAGGGGGGGCGGGGGAGAATTCCAATCCCTGCCCCCAAGTTGGACTTTGTAGGGGACAGTGTGGCAAAGGGGGATGAAGATGAGCTTTGGCACCAACTACAGCTGGATTCAAATCCTGGCTCAGACACGTGCTGGCTGGTGGCATTAGGCAAGTCACCTACCCTCTCCACACCTTTTCTTTATCCCTAAATTGGAGGTGATGATACAAACATGTACCATTCAGAATGGCGTTGGTTGAGAAAGGATTAGAGGTGTGGTAGCTGACATGTTATAGGCACTCAATAAATGGCAGCTAGTATTGATTATTATAAATGCTGTCTGGCTTGTTTGCTTCATTTGGTTATTAGAACAGGACAAAAATAAGAACAAAGCTCAAGTCGCACTCAAGAAGCTAATACTGGAGGACTTTTAGAGCCAGGTTTCTGTAACGCATTTCTGTGGGGTTGAAGGCCCTCTTACCCCTTTCCAGCCGCTCACCCCCTCCCCCCACCTCTTCTCTGCTCCTCTCATAGAGGCACCACCTCCCTGTCTTTAGCTGGTAAACCGAGGGCAAGGCCCCTCCCCTTGGTAGGGAGAGAGGGGAACTCAGGTAGACACCTGAGCCTAGTGATGCTCTCATTTTACAGGTGAATAAACCAAGGCCAGATATGAGAAGTGCTGCCTTTGTCAGACAGAGCTACTTGGACATACCTGGGCTCTAGAACCTTCCACTGAGGGCAGAGTCCCAGGGAGGCTGCAGCAGGACTCATAACCTCTGGAATGGGGACCACACCTGAAAAGGCTTCACCCGCCCTGCGTTCTTCCTCTGGAAACTTCTTCCTCCATTTCTAAGCTTCTCTTCCTCTCTTTCCCTCCTGCCTCTTTATTTCTGATCTAGCTATATTTTTTCTATCCCCCTTCTACCAGGGGTTCATATTTTGCATCAAGCCACTCCTGGATGTTCAGAGGTGTTTTGTTTGTTGTTTGGTGTGTGTGTGTGTGTGTGTGTGTGTGTGTGTGTGTGTGTGTGTGTGTGTGTAATTCTCTTTCCTGAGCGTGTTATTCTCAGAGACAGAACTGCCCTGGCTTGGGTGATGGGAGGGAGGGGATGGAAGCCCTGGGAAGACGAAGGTCATGGCCACCCCTTTGGGACACTGCTGTCTGGGCCCTCCAGTGCATGGGACTCTTAGGATCACCTGGGAAGCTCCCAGAGTGCAGGGCAGGGTCACTTCTTCCCAGAGACAATGAAATAGCAAAGGCAGTCTCAACTACTACCTGGAAAAACAGCACCCAGCTCCACTGTTACACCCCCTCCTCTGGGAATGGGACCAAGGCTCCAAACCAGGCCACAGTGGGCAGACCAGCCATTGAGTCCAGGGTCCCCCAGGCCTGTTGCTACCCTCCTTATCCTGACCCACTTCGCGCTGCTAGCTTTTCACAGTCATGACACTGGTTATTAGATTTCCCATGAACACCGATGACCAGATGAGGCCCCGGGAGCCCAGAGACCTGGAGCAGCCTCCCAAAGTCTCACAGCTGTGGGTTCCTGATTCCCAGTCTCAGGCCAACATGGCTACAAAAGTGCTGAGATGGGACATTTAGTAAGAGACAGCTGTCTCCATCCCTCAGTGAGCTTGGATGAGACACAGACCCTCTATACCCAATCCAGTGGGTTCAGCTAGCTCTTTTCGAAAAGGTGAGGGAAAGCTTAAGGAATTGCGGGAATCCCCCCCAAAAAAAACCCAAAACAAAACAAAATATTTAAGAGCATTTTTGTCTTTAAAGGAATAAGCAAACTTGGCTCTAAATTCCTGAAGTTTTACTGACGTGAGATTTTTTACTTAATAGTCAAAGAGGCATTTCATTCACAGTCTTTTCAGATGAGAGGGTCCCTTGGGGGGTCAGGACCCTGCTAACCATATGGAAGGTCCATGGGAATCAGAAAACGGTGTCATTTCCTCAATACATATTTAGTTTTGTTTTTGTTTGTTTGTTTTTTTAAAGATTTTTTTATTGGGGAATTGGGGCATGGGAACAGCGCAGGGGAATTGGGGAAGGGGAACAGAGAAGTTGCTGTCCTTTTGTTCTTCAGTCTAGTTGTGGAGGACATTGCTTCACTGGTCCAAGTTGTCACCATCATTGCGCTCTTCCTGGGTGAGGCAGATCAATCGTGCGCTTCTGGACAGCAGCTCAAGGCAGCTGCTGGCCGCTCATGCTGGCTGCTGGCTACACACTGTAGCCCATGGCAACCCACTGCCACAGGGGCTGCAGCCTATGCCATCGCTGGCAACTCCCGGCAGCCCAGCTCCAGGTTGAGCTGTTGTTCAGCATCTTAGCTATAGAGGGCAGTGTCACTGGCCCTCATATGTGGGATCCAAACCGGGGCCCTCTGGTGTCCCAAGCCAGCTCTTAACCAAAGCGCCACTTGGCTGGCCAATACATATTTAGTTTTTAAAGAGACGGCTAAGCTGTTTCCCAGAATGGCTGTATCATTTACACACACCCCAGCAATGTATGCGTGAGCGAGCTTCCTCACCAGCACTTGGTGTTGCCACTGCTGGTGGTTTCAGCCACTCTGGTAGGTGTGTGGCGGCACCTCACTCCTCTTCGGTGCATCTTGCTCTGTCTTTCTCATAGTTGTGTCCCTGTAAGCTCTGTGAGAGCAGGACCTTCTAGCTCTGCTCTCTGTGTAGCCCCAGTGCCTGGCACAGGGAGAAACCCAATGACTCGTTAGGAAGTGAACGCATAGTCTGTGGGGTCTCTGGCCTTTTTAAAGATGAGAAGGCAGGAAAGCAATGAGGCCTTCACTCTGGGAAACCTCCTGAGCACCTGCACAGGTGGGATTGTTCAGAGAAGGCTTGGGCCCTCTGGGGTGGAGACGAAGGGGGTAGGAGGGACGAGTGCCCAGCACCCTGCCCGCCTCACCCCGCCAGGTTCCTGGTGCCTCCAGGCCTCACCTGGGGCTCACATTGTGGGACTGGCACATCTCCTCTGCCCCCTCCCCCTGCATCTGCCTTCCCAGGGCAGAAACATCCAGAAGATAAATGCGTGGGGATCCCCAAAGCTCTTCCCACCGGGGTGTGGGGCTTTCAAGTTTTGGTTTTCTTTTTGTTTTCTCCCCACTGTAATTGCACCAGAATAAGGACCAGACCTCTGCAAGGATTTATCCAAGGGTCACGATCAAGCTTTGCCCTCAGGAGAAGGGCCCTCGGGGCTCTGGCAGAAAAATTGAGGTGGCTTTTTTTCCAGCTTGAATCTGCAGGCGGGGGCTGTGTGTTTTGTTCCCTGAAGGGAGGGGTGCCTGTTGCCCTGTGTCCCACATGTCTCCCTCCTGGTGGCTATCACTGGGCACACTTCATGTTTAACACACTATGCTGAGGTCTCAGAGAGCCTTCTCCCCGCGGGAGATATGGTTCCCTGAGGGGAACAGATTACAGATAGGACACATTAACTAATGATGTACTCGAATTTTATATTGAATTTAAATGTTGATTTATAGGTGAAACGGCTCGTGGACATACTCATATAGGATGTCAGTATTTCAAAGAAAAAGAAAAAAGATAAAAAATGAAAGGAAACTTCATCAAATAAGATGAAACCAGAGGAAGGTCACAAGGCAAAACATATGCCATAAAAATGGGCCAAAAAAATTAGTCTTAAGATTCCTAGTAGCTGTACCAGTTTGTTCGGGCTGCCATGACAAAGTGCCCCAGACTGGCTGCCTTAAACAACAGAAAAATTTTTTTGCACAGTTCTGGAGGCTAGAAGTCCAAGATCAAGGTGTTGGCAGGGTTGGTTTCTTCTGAGGCCTCTCTCCTTGGCTTGTAGATGTCCATCTTCTCCTTGTGTCGTCACAGGGTCCTCCCTCTGTGTGTCTGTGTCCTAATCGCCTTTTATAAGGACATCAATCATTGGCGTCCACTCATATGACTTTATTTTAACCTTAATCACCTCTTTAAAGGTCTTCCCTCCAAATACAGTCACATTCTGAGATAACTGGGGGCTAAGATTGCAACCTATGAACTTGGAGGGAGACACCCCTCAGCCCAGAACAGTGGCCAATAGTAGCCAAATGTTCATCTGTTGCAGGAGTCAGAGGATTTGTGAAATAAACCACAGCATTTTCCCAGCAGCTACACTGAGTCATGAGAGAGCTTCATTCCTTTGGCCCCTGACCCGCAGACACTGTGTGAGGAAGTAGCGGATGCCATTCTGTAGCTCACAGAGCAGTTGAATGTCATGGGGGCCATCTACCCTGGTGCCCCACCATTGCATGTTAGCAAAGTGGAATTCAGTGACATCGTGCCCACAAGGAGCTTCCACAACCTGCTAAACAGCACACACCATGAGAAGCCCAACTCCAAGGGCCTGAGGGGTCCAGGAAAAGACCCCGCAGCACAGTGAAAAGCCCCAGTTTGCGGGCTGGGTTCTGCATTACCGGTGGGATTTGGAAAAGCTGAGGAGGAGGAGGGCTGGCTTCCTGGCGGAGGGGGAAACCTTCAGTGAAGGCGGTGGTGGCGTGGGCCAGCATACCCACCAGCCCGGCCTCCCTGGTCCAGCGTCCCAAGAGCTGGGTGTCCCTCCTGAGACCCGGTGCTCTAACCCTGATCTCCCTCTCTGTGTGTCCCTGCAGGGCTCTGGCTGAGACCATGGCCAATGGCATTGACGAGCTCATCGGCATTCCCTTCCCCAACCACAGCAGCGAGGTCCTGTGTAGCCTGAACGAGCAGCGACATGACGGCCTGCTCTGTGATGTGCTACTGGTGGTGCAGGAGCAGGAGTACCGCACCCACCGCTCCGTCCTAGCTGCCTGCAGCAAGTACTTCAAGAAGCTCTTCACGGCCGGCACTTTAGCCAGCCAGCCCTATGTCTACGAGATCGACTTCGTCCAGCCCGAGGCCCTGGCCGCCATCCTGGAGTTTGCCTACACCTCCACGCTCACCATCACCGCTTCCAATGTCAAGCACATTCTCAACGCTGCCCGGATGCTGGAGATCCAGTGCATTGTGAATGTGTGCCTGGAGATCATGGAGCCCGGCGGGGACGGCGGGGAGGAGGACGACAAGGAGGATGACGACGACGACGAGGATGATGATGATGAGGATGAGGAGGAGGAAGAGGAGGAAGAGGAGGAGGAAGAGGAGGACGATGACACGGAGGATTTCGCTGATCAAGAAAACCTGCCTGACCCCCAGGACATCAACTGCCGCCAAAGCCCTTCCAAGACGGACCATCTCACGGAGAAGGCCTACTCGGACACACCCAGGGACTTCCCGGATTCCTTCCAGGCTGGCAGCCCTGGCCATCTGGGCGTGATCCGGGACTTCTCCATTGAGTCCCTGCTGAGGGAGAACCTGTACCCTAAAGCCACCATCCCCGACAGGAGACCCTCCTTATCTCCCTTCGCCCCAGACTTCTTCCCACACCTATGGCCAGGGGACTTTGGTGCCTTTGCCCAGCTGCCCGAGCAGCCCATGGACAGTGGGCCACTGGACCTGGTCATCAAGAACCGGAAGATCAAGGAGGAGGAGAAGGAGGAGCTGCCCCCGCCCCCACCCCCGCCCTTCCCCAATGACTTCTTCAAGGACATGTTTCCAGACCTTCCCGGGGGGCCGCTGGGCTCCATCAAGGCGGAGAATGACTATGGTGCCTATCTCAACTTCCTGAGTGCCACTCACCTGGGGGGCCTCTTCCCGCCCTGGCCACTGGTGGAGGAGCGCAAGCTGAAGCCCAAGGCCTCTCAGCAGTGCCCCATCTGCCACAAAGTCATCATGGGGGCCGGGAAGCTGCCGCGGCACATGCGGACCCACACGGGGGAGAAGCCATACATGTGCAACATCTGCGAGGTCCGCTTCACCAGGTGCGCATCACAGCCCCCTAGATGGGGGACCCAGTGGGTGCTGGGAGAGGGTCAGAGGCCGCCTTGATGACAGCAGAGAGGCACACGGGGGGCTGGGATGGTGAGAGAGATGCAGTTCATGGGAGGGGGCCTGACTGGATCCTAGATGCACATCAAGTTCATTGATAGAAGGTGTGCCAGGCATTCCCTGGTGTGGTGATTTTCAAGCGCTTTTTAAGAGCTAGCAATTTTTTTTTAAGATTTTATTGGGGAATTGGGGGAGGGAACAGCATTGGGGAATCGTGGAAGGGGAACAGACAAGTTGCTATCCTTTGGTTCTTCAGTCTAGTTGTGGAGGACGTCATTTCACTGGCCCATGTTGGTGTTATTACTGTGCTTTTCCCGGGTGAGGCAGATCAGTCACCAGCCATTGGACGGCGGCTCACAGCAGCTCATGCCAGCTGCCGGCCACTCACAGTAGCTTACAGCAACCCACTGCAGCCCCCGCTGCAGCCTACGCCGTCGCCGGCGACTCACGCAGCCCAGCTCCAGGTCGAGCTGTTGTTCAGCATCTTAGCTGTAGAGGGCGCAGCGTCACTGGCCCTCATATGGGATCTGAACCGGTTGCCCTGCTTCTCAAAGCTCACGCTCCCAAGCCAACTCTTAACCAACAAGCCACTCAGCCAACGTGCAAATTTTCTTAAACGCAATAGCAGGTGGGAGGACAGGATATAAAACAGGTCAGAGCAGAGCTGTTCTGGTTAAAGCAGAAGTGAAGGGCCTCAATGCCTTGCTCCCTTGGCCTCCCTCGCCCCTTCCCCACTGGAAATCCACGGGAGCTGGTTTGAAGCTCCTCAGTGGCGTGCCGCCCTTTTATTTTACCTTAATTCAGCATGCCAGGAGCGGTCCTAAGTGTATTACATATACTCTCCCCCAGCCAGGCCCTAGGAAGACAAGGAGGTGCTGTGTGGCCTTTGCTTACAGGTGAGCTATGCATTTCCCCATGGCTAGTTGGCCACTCGTAAGCTCAGATGGAAAATAGCTGGGCTGGGACTTGTGTGGAAGCAAAATCTGTGACCAAGGGAACTGCAGAGACCCTTGAGCCCTTTAAATCTCTTCTGGGCCAGACCTAAAGGATGGGCCTCCTTTTATATTCTCCTCCTTGCCTCTCCTTGTTAGGAAGAGGATTAACTTTTATGCTGTTATAAAGTTTGAAATCAGCACATATAAAGCTTTAATCTTCTATAGACTCCATGCCATTCAGCAAACATGTATGATGAACCTTCTCTGTGCAGCAGCTTTTGTAGTCGAAACGGATGGGTAGGACATGGGGTCAGATTTGTCCACTGCTAGGTTGTGATGGGCCTTCTGGGGGGAAATATGATGTTGGTGCTCTTTGTGGTCACTGGTGTGAGGCTGACCTTTCCAGCCATGTCCACAGTGGGGAAACTTCTGATAGGTGGCTGACATCAGGGCTTGGTAGTTCCAGTGTGTCAGATGTGAACAGAGCCTGGTGGATACCTGCCCTGTGCTCGTGACATCCTAGACTAGGTCTGTTCCCCACACTGCCACTGTCCTGTCAAAGAGCTCACCTTGGGAGACCCACACTTATGCCACTGGTGCTGCCATCACCGCTTATCTTCACGGAAATGTATTTGTGGGAATTGCTGGGGGTTCGTTCTTTTGATTTACTTTGGTGGGCCCACAACTTTAGCCTTTGAGGATGGAGTGAAAATTTTTGAATCAGGCCGAATATCAAATCAGGGGCCATGCATTTTTTGGGGAAAAACAAGATGAGTCCTATGAAGTAATGAGGCCTACTCTTTTGGGTGGCTTGACATGCTACATGAAGATTCCAGCGAAGGGTATCAGAAATATGCTCAGGTGATAATGGCATTGCTGCAATAGCTCTGCAGTCTCCTCCGGTGACTGCTTGGAAGACACACTGATTGTTTCCAAGTGGCCTTGGGGTCCCCGCATAGCTGCTTCTGAGAGGGAACCCCCAAACAGAATCTCTCCCAGATGCTTTGAGCTGACAGTGGAGGGAGATTCCAGGTGCAGAGCAGCTAGACCCCAATTGCCCGGGATTCACCTGCCTCCAGGTGTCCTTCACTGATGGCCCTGCCACCCTGATGCTGCCTTAGGCAAGGCTGCCCCCACCTTCTCCTGAATCACTTAGCCCCACAGGCCTGGGCTAGAACATCTGAACAAGGCTGACAAAAGCCCAGGATAACAGAAGGGAGATCAGCCAGAGCATAATCCAATGTCAAGTACAGCTCATTCATCTGCAGCCTGTGAGGCCCAGCCCAGCCCCAGGGACTTGACACTCTCACAGGCCAGGAAAGCCAGTCCCTGAGCAGCCCAGAGTGCCCCCTCCTGCCATCCCGGGTCCACCTCCCTCTTTTCCATGCCTGTCCCCTATGCACATGGCTGCCACTGAGACACCTGTCCCTTCAGAGGAGACCCAGGTGTATGGCTTCAATAGGACGCTTGTCTCAGGGTACCACACATTGAACCTGCCTGGTACCCCAAGTCCCCATCTCCTTTCCCTCCTTGCGCTGCCCCTCCAGGCCTTTCCCACACATGGCTTTCGGTGAGGGCCACACCAGTCCGTGGGCTGTGCCTTCCCTAGGGAAAGCTTTAATCTTGGTCAGTCACTACAGACAGACTTCTCGCCCTCCTGACACTGGAACATTCTCTAAGTAGGCCTCCTGGTTTGGGCAGTGGTGCTAGGTTGTATAGGAGGGCTGCATTCCAGAAAGCTCCTTTCAGCACATTCTCGATGATCACTTAGGGTGGCCTGTAGTCTCACCCTCCCTCCAGGTCAGATAAGCCAGTGGGGTGGTTCCCGCCATCCAGCCGTCTGCCCTGCCCGGCCCTCCCTCCAGTTTACTCATGCTCAACAGATGGACAGCCATCTGGGCCCCCAGGCCCGTCTCCAGCTGAAGCAGCTGCATTCCAACCTCCATCAGCACCTTCCCCTCACTCGTTGCCATTGGGCTCTGACTGTCCTGGGAAAGATCAGAAAAGCTCTGGCCCCCCACCCCTCCCCCAGAGCAGAGACACTCCAGAGTCGAGTCGGGGCAGGCTGGAGATTTTCCTGGCTTATTCGAATAAGGGACTGTGTTTCTCACCGTGGGCTGTGGTTATTCGTGTCGAACACCCCCTCAGCCTCCCTCCCTGGCATATTCTTCAGAATCTCTGGTCCCTTGCTTCCCTCCTGCCCCCTCTCTGGAGCTGCTCTGCAAGGATTCTTTTTGGTCTTTGGAGAGCCCCAACTCTGGTCTGTGTGGACTGGGGTTTCCTGTGACTGCCTGTAGCCACGTCCCCGGCAGCCTTTCCCTGGGGACCGTCTCTGCGTCTTGCTTCCTGCAGACACCGTTCACAACACCTTCCCTCCCTCCCCAGCTGCAGGCTCTTCAGGAGCCACTTCAAGCAGCAGCTGCTGCCTCTTTGACTCAAAATTCCCAGACTCCTTTGCAAGGCCAAGCCACTCATTGGGACTGGGCCCCCAGAGGCCAGGGGACCCCTGACCTGCTGCCCTCCATCCTCCTCTTAGGCACCGTTTTTTTTTTCTGAATCTCAGCTGAGTTTCTGCTTTCTGGCCAGGCCCCCTTTCCTTTCTCCTAAATGCTGACACACCTCCTGCCCTCCATCTTGGGGGATGTTGGAGGGGCTGACCCTTCCCCTGCAAAGTGGCCCTTTGGCATAGACTCCAAGTTACAGCCCCAGAAGCCAACTCCCAGAATGTCCACACCCCACGAGGACATCATTCCTAATGACTTCAGAGCAGGCAGGTGGGACCCGGAAGTCCTTCCCGCAGAGCCCCTCTGCCCCTAAGCCTGCCTGCTTGCTTTCATTCTATGGTCCTACAAGAAGAGAGACTAAGGCCTCCCCACCACGATGTTGTCTGTTCCCTGGTGTCAGGACCCTCACCTCCAGGTTGGCTCTAGATTTCAGCCAGTTCCACTGGTTGTCCCACCACTGATTGTTCCATATATGAGACACCGCTGGGGCCCCAAGCAGGCACTCAAAGGCTTCCACCAGACTGTGTTTCTATGGCCCCGTACTATCCCCTCCTAGCTCTGGTCACCGCGTAATCACTCAGAGGACTCTGAGTCCCTCTGCCTACATCAGAGCCTGTGTTTACACTCCCCTGGCATGGTCCAGCATCACTGTTTTCTTCCTGAGGAAGACCGGTGCCTGTACCGGCTGCAGAGAGACAGCTCCTGCCGCAGTCGGTCCCATTGGCTCCAGTTTGGGAGAGAGAAACAGGACATAGGGGAGAGGCAGCCTGGACCAAGATTCCCCCAGACCCCTGGCCTTCCTCGTCAGGAGTCCTTTGCCTTCTGTCCCCAGAAAGTCTGGAAGCAGGGTCAAAGGTCAGGACCACAGGGTTCTGCCAGATGTGGCCCCCAGGAAAGGCCTTAAACAACAGGGAGCAAGTGAGCCAGGGGAGATGGGAAGGTGCCTGTCCTACGTGCATGCAGAGATGCTGCTGCACTTTGGTGGGCATTTTCCCTGTCCCCCCAAACAGCATCTGGCCCTCTGGTTGCCCCAACTGCAGCCCTCATCGGTGCCAAATGGGCCTGGCCCTCGGCTGTGAAGGCCCCAGAAGACTAATTCCTCCTAATTCGTGCCACATTGGTCCTTGAGCACAGGCAGCCTGTCGGGGGAGCTCCTAAAGAGCATGGCTGGCATCCTTCCCTCCTGCAGCCCCCTGTAGCCCACCCGCAGCCTGGCTCTCAGAGGGGCTCCAGCCTCTGCGGGGGCAGGTAATAGAGGCATGAAACTGCAGGGCTTGAGAAGGGACCAGCCCCCGAGTCACATAGGTCCCATCCCGTCCCTGGTGGGTGGACAAGCTCTACGCCCTGAGAAGTCACTCTCTGGCGAGCCATGATCTCACCAGTTTCCACTGGATGCCCCAAAAGGCTGCAACTTCCAGTCTCCCAACACCCGCCTCCGGTATGAGCCGGAGCCGTCTGCAGCCCATAGCCGTCTGCTCTCCGAACAAGGCCAGG